GAGCAACAAACAGTGTGTGAAAGCAAACTGAGAGGTGTATTTTTGGTGTATTGAGCATGAGAAGTGAATGTATATTGAAAAATTGAAGGGTTTTTTTTTGGTGTTTATATATATAATATGTACTAGATATAATGTTTAAATATATATTTTTAATTCTAAAAATTGTAACCAATGTCAAAGATTAAGTCAGTGGAGGCACCTCTAAAAACTAAAATCCTCTTAACTAATTAGATATTTTATTTCTTAATACCTCCTTGTAGAGGTGGTTAGAAAAGTTCCTTAGAAATTTTTTATAAATCAAGGAAATAATCCCTAATACTTGTTGGCAGCATAAGAATTTGTTAGCTACACCCAGAGCCATCTGCCATATTTAGCAAACCTTTAAAATAAGCAGTAGAGGAGATAAGGTGTTCCACCTGGAAGACTCAGAAATTCATTACACAATTTTTCATAACAACCTCTAAAGTCACATACTTGTATCCTTCAGGTTTTGATAGCAAGCAGAAGCAGTGTATGCATTATTATAGAAGTTGAACAGAATATTATTCAGTTCACTGGACTTATTTGAACTTGAAAGTTATATTACTGGGAATGTATTGAAATAACTGAGACCTGATTCTGATGTAAATGATGCCATTTACTCAAGTAGTGTAAATGGTTACTCATCATTCACAAGAAAGTAGCTTAGAGCAGAAACACACCTCACTGAGATTCCACATTTTAGTCTCTTTTCTTTGTCAAATATATTTTTAAAATATAGAAGACAGAAACCAAATCTTCTATTGGGTACTTTAATTTGACCAAAGGGCAAAACAGTTGCTTCTTTCTGCCTATTTCTTTTGCAGGTGCAATGAATAGATACCTTTGGCCAGCTAAAGCACAATTATTTGGCTCGCAGCATTGACCCACAGTGGCTTTGTTAGCTGAAAAACCAAAGGAACTTGTGTCATTCAGGCATATTAAGAAAATGGTATTACTCAGAAATAGCTGAAGTCTTGATTCCTTACAGGGCTGATAAATTTTCTTACTGCTTTTCAGATCTTAATGTTAAGTGTAGTTACCTTGGCCTAAAGCAAGAGTGAAACATTTCCACTCTGTTCATGGATGGCTGGGCAGCCCACAAAAAAATTGTAGGAGAATGGGGAACAAACGAAAGGGAATCCTGCTAGACATAAAGCATGTTCAGCTTTGTTACCTGAGAGACATTTCTGTTAAAGGAAACATAAAAGAAGTGTAGAAAGGTTTCTTATTGCAACAGCACAAGGAAATTCACATCAGCTAATTTTGCTTAAATTAATCTGACATAGGTGATCACAGCCACTAGCACTTAGGTCCAAGAACTCTAGCCTGAGACTAAAACCAAGGGTCATCTGTCATCTTAAAAAAAAAAAGAAGCTGTTTCAGAACCTTTTTTATGCAAGCCCTGCACACACCCTCAGTGACATAAGCATGCTTGCCAAGCACTGAAATCATAGGAATGGTCAGCCCAGAAGCTAGGAAAGCAGAATGTACCAAAAAAAAAAAGGCTCACAGAACCAAAGCAAGGAGAAATGAGCCTTCCTACATGGAAGGTAGTGACATTTGTCTGTGAGCACAGAGCACTACCCTGCAATTCTTACAGCTGTGCCTTGGGCGATGATTACTGGAATGGAATTTAACAAGTCCAAGTGTTGGATTCTGCCCCTAGGGCAAAATAGCACCAGGCACAAGCATACCCTTCAAGAGGAATGCCTAGAGAGCAGCCCTGCACAGAGGAATCTGGGAGTGCTGGTGGGGAGTCACTCAGTGTGAGTCAGAAGCAAGCCCTGGCAGCCCAGAGGCCAAATCCAATCCTGAGGTGCATCACCACCTGGGCAAAAGAGGGGATTGTTCTGCTGGATTCAGTGTTGGTGTGGTGTCACCTCAAGAAACTGTGTGCATTTCTGGGCCCTGCAGTTGAAGGAGGCCTTTGAATGCAACCAGAGGAGGGCAACAAGGCTGGAAGGACTGTCCTTGTCCTGTAACTTTGAGCTTGTCTTATTTGGAGTAAAGGAGGCTGAGGGGCAACTTTGTTGTTCAGCTTCCTGAGGAGGGAAGTGGAGAGGGAAGTGCTGAGCTCTCCTCCTGGGACTCTGTGGCAGAACATGTGGGAGTGGTTTAAACCTGCACCAGAGTGGATACAACCTGGATGTTAGAGAGTACTAATTTACTGAGAGGATGGTCAGATGCTGTGAGAGTCCTAGAAAGGTGGTGGATGCTCCAAGACTCAATGTTTGAAAGACATTTAGACAATGCACTTACAACATGCTTTAACTTTTGATCAGCCTTGAAGTGGTCTATAAAATCCCTGTAGGTCCTTTCCAAGGGAAATTATTCTATTCTATTCTATTCTATTCTATTCTATTCTATTCTATTCTATTCTATTCTATTCTATTCTATTCTATTTAAAATTACCTGTTGAGATTGCTCTATTTTTCTACATTATTGTTCATGTCTAAATTACTGTTTGTAAATCTAGTTGATTCCTGTTTGAGAAAGGGAAAAATTATTTTAACTAGTTTAATTTGCACAATGTTCCACAGAGAGGTTACATCCACTGAGTTATTGGCAATCCCCTTCAATCTGACCCTGAATTTGCTGATGTCAGTCACATCCTGGGAGAAAACTTGCATGTATGTGTGTTTTACTTTGCCACTACTGCTCTTGCAAGAATAGCCTAATCAAGTGAGTAACTATGTTTAGGAAAACCAAACTGAGACAAGTGGTGTTTCTAAAAGCTACGCAAAATTGGTTGCAATTTGAGTAGTATGGGTGAGATTTCATCATCAAAAGCAGTCATAAAAAATAGGAATTCCTGGGTTGAGAAGGAACATAGTCTCTCTCTGAGATACATTTCTTTGCTCTTACTTTAGAAATAGATGTCCCTTGCTATGGTCATCAGCATTCATAATTAGCCTGATCTTGGGCAATGGGTAAAATATCCTCCCCTCCTTGCAAGTATTTATTTTCCCTTCCATTGTCTTCAGAATTGGGGACATGAAACCACTCTGCCTGCAGACAGCAGTGTGAGCTTTCCATCCATGACCACCTTTGGCTTCTCTTGCCTCCTCAGAGCTTCTCTCCTGGGAGGAATCACAGCTCTTTTTCTCAGTACTGCTGCCTCTAAGATTCACTCTTCTCTTGCTTATGACAGGCTTGTCAGGATCTTGGTGGGAAACAGTAGGACAGTCTTCCAACCATCCTGTACTTTCACCTTGTTTCAGCAAAGTTTTAGTCACCAAGGCTCTGAAAGGCAAACGTTATTAAAATTGTCTTAGTTTTCATGCTATGCATTCCATTAACTGACTTAGGGATCATTTGTTTCACAATATCTGACAATTATAATACTGATTATCAATTTAATTGTATAATAGTGCAGACAGGGGACACTGAGGGGTGATTTTGTGAGGTGTGCTCAAGCTTGTCAGAAAAAGACTTCCTGTATCAGTCTTGTTAGCTCAAATGTTCAAAACCTTGAGTCTGTCCTTCCATCACAGCCTAAAGCTATGACATGAAAAAGAACCAAATTCAGGCAATATTTTTATATTTTATGGTTCTGAATTCTGACTTTTAGTCTAAGAGAGTTTACATTTTCCTTCAGCATGCCGTCTGAGGAGCATATGCAATTCTTGACAGACCACGCAGGAGTGAATCAAGAATTTAATGGAATTCTACTTACATTAAAGTTCTATATTGGTAATTTTGTTCCATGTCCTTTAAAGTACAGTAGGATTTCCTTTCCTACTGGATGGGTTGCACTGGGATCCTCTGCTGTTCACAGAATGGTAAAAATTGCAAAGGACCTTTGAGGGTCATCTTGTCCTGTTGTCTTGAAGACGTTAAACAGGACTGGACCCAGTAATGAGTTCTGTGGTGCACTGCTAGTTACTGACCTCCAACCAAACTTTGTGCCACGAGTCACCAACCTCTTTATCATCCTCTCCATGAGGATCTTACAGCAGGCAGTGTTCATTATCTGGTCTTTACTGGCCTGTTTTCAGTAAACTCTCAAGTCCTGACAGTCAATGTCCACTGCTCTCCCCCATTCACCAAGCCAGCCAATTCATGAGAGAAGGTTTTCTGGTTGTTTGGGCACAAGTTCCCTTCTGTTCATGCGAGTCTGTTGTTGGCTATTACTGGATTGCACAGGTCCCTTTGTCCTCTGACTATCCAGTTTAAATTCCTAAGAAGTGACACCTGAGGAAATGCAGCCAGTGACACCTTCTGCTACATCTGAACTTCTGCTCAATGTGGAGTTTGGATATGGACTGATGAATATGGACCTGGAAAATCAGAAATCTGATTAACATAGCTCCTTTGTATGCAGTATCAGGTGCTAATCCAAAAAGGCCACAATGTTTAGGAAATGAACCTTGTTCTATATCCAATAACCGAAGAGGCACAATAGTGAATTGCAATAAAAAATTTCAATTGATGCATTTATGAGAACTTCTATTCTTCACATGAGATTTTTGAGTGTCTGTATTTTCTGCATGCTTACATTGGAAAATAAAACTCATATGAAACAGGTGGAGGCAGAAAGAAATAGCTTATCTTTCCCATGTAGTCTTTTGTGTTTTGAATATCTCATCCTGTAGTCCTAATGACTAGAGAAGAGGAGAGAGATGAGGCAGTAAGAAAGCTTCTCATTTACACACCTGGTTTTGGGAATCATGAAAAACACATTTACTATGTTATGAGAGCAGGTGTCCATGTGGTGTAATTAATATATGTCTAGCAGTACAAGTAGAACAAGGGGGGGGGGGGGTTGTTTTCAAAAAATCCCCAAAGACAAAAACAAAAATATTTTCAATGAGGAAATAAAATGAATGATGATTTTTTTGTATCCTAAGGAAAGTTTGAGGATCAGCAGTTATCACATGATAAAGCAAGTCTTTCTTGACAAAATCAGGACAGAAAATTATGTTTCCAGTGCAAAGTGCCACAGTCCTCAGGAAGATAAACTTCTTGTCTTCTTACAGTCTACAGCAGCATTCCCACCCGAGAGATGCATTTACTGATGAAGAACAACCATGACAAAGTGCTACTGAAGGCAGCATCATGCCACCCAGACTCTAACACTTCACAGTTTTTGAGACAAGATTCACAAAAAGGAAAGGAATGCAACAAATAAAGCAGTGCCTCTAATTTTCAATAAATGTCTGAAAGATGTGAGGTGTAGCTGTTTGTTGTGAGTAGGACATAAATTCAAGAAATCATACATGATACTAGAGACAGTTGGAACCATCTTTGGGGAAGCCCAGTGGTCTTCTCACTGCTCTGGCTCTGGCTTGGTTGAAAGTGAGTCACAGTTTTGCTGCAGTAACCAGCAACATTCCTTGGACATGCAGCTTTCACAAACGAAGAGCATTCGATTATGGTTTTGGGTTTTTTTGCTTCCAAAAAAGTATAACATTCTTGGGAGTTTTCCAGGTCAAGCTGAGGAGGCAGATGGTCAGTGTTGGCACCGTGGCCAGTCAGAGCCTTGCAGAAATGCACCTTCAAAGCACTCATTTTAATGGAGGCTCCACCTGTGGTCAAATCTGTTGAGAGCCATTTTTATTTACCAAATGTTGAATGATTGAGTCACTGTCCTGAAAAATGATTGCATTTCTGTAATACTTTCATCAAAGAAAGCAAATAAGCTCTTCAGAATCATAGCTTTAATGACAGTTGTGCAATTCATAAATTTTAAATAAAGTCCCTAATTGGCTGGCTGTGAAGTAGAAAGAGACTCGCTGCAGTGAATGGTTTAAATGCAGCAATTACTGTATTTCTTATTCTTTGCCAATCTAAAATTAATGAAAAACCTTTCTTGCTCTGACCTTGACAAATGGTAGTGTAATCTTTTTCGATTCTCAGAGGGTGCTGAATTCTACCCTCTGAGAAAGTGATGTAAAGGAATTGCAGCTGAACATTTATAATTAGTAAACGGAAACCCTGTGACAGGGAAGAAAGCTAAAAGGCACTGATTGGATTTAACATATATTAGACACCATCCCCGAGGAATAGAATTGGAAGTTAGCTCTGAGTATTTTAATTTTCGCATATCTGATTATCTTTGGGCATCACTGAATCCTGCATTATTGAATTGTCTGCAAAATTGATGTGAACCGGCTAGAATTCACCCAAGGTGAAGGGTGATCCTGTAAAATATTGGGTATGTTCAACTCCTACTGCTCTGAGGAAATGGTTAACTCCTCAGGGAATGGGACAGAGAGTGCAGCTTCACAGCACAAGGTCTGACATTTGCACTGGAGATATTTCACCTATTGCTGGCATTCCTTAGGGGTTATGACATGGACGTACAGCACATTTAAACCAGCTTTAAACCCTTGTACATACCAGGGTGGTATGAGGGAATCTGGAGCCTCTATGTTAAAATCTCGTTTAGGTAAGTATAACTTCCATGTAGGTATAAAATAGTGCTGGGTTACTAAAAGTGATTTGTTGATTTGACACCATGAATACTCCCAGGAGACTCAAAAATCCCTAGAACATTCTTTTCTTTTCCTGATAGGTCACAACTGTGGGGTATAATGATTCTAACTATGCTGTATTTTATCAGCTCTATTTTTATTCCTTCTAAGAGGCAAAGAATCTTTGGGTGATAGATAAACAAGAGAAACCAGTACAAACTTGTACTTTCCCCTTCATAGATTTTTGTATTGCTAAATCCTATTTTCAACCACTGGACTGTCTAAATTGTCTAGGATGGTACAATTTACTTTCAAGTGGTGGTACAATTTCTGTTATCATTCCCTGATTTCTTGGATAAGACAGAAAATTTTCAATCCCTTTTGAGAAGCTGAATTTATTTAGCAATTCATATCCTGACAATGCTCCTTATTATGAGTCCCACCTCCTTGACTTCTTTCTGATAAGAAAACCAAGTGCAAATACAGGTCAGAAGAACTTATACCCAAATTCCCTGTCCTTTGCATGGAGCATATGAAAATTTTCAGTGTAATTAAGGAGACTCTGAAAGGTTAGTGGAGCAGGTCTTTCTAACATTAATTTTTATTATATGTTAACTATTTTGCAAGTTCCTTTGATTTTAAATTAAAATAGGCACTTTATTTTTCTAATAGCAACTGTCCATGTTGGTCCTTAGTTCTGTCACTAAAAATTGGTCCTCTGACAGCAAATGATTATGTTTGCATGAGAAATAATAGATATTGAAAGGAAATAAAATTTAAGTGCTTTTGGGGATGTTATCAGTGAAAAGTCAGGTGACTTTTCTTATGTTATTCTTTATTTTCCTCAGTTTTCAGTTGAAGAATTGATTTGATTTGTATAATTCAGGGTAGAAGTGATTTCAGGCAGAGCTTTTAATTATCTTAGCAATTCTTAACTGCAAGTTAAAGTGGCAGAAATGGCTCGTGCTCTAATTTTATTTCCTTTCATCTTTTTTTGCCTCTCATAACCCCTTCCATACTCCATCTGGTTTTCCTTGGCTTGGTAATGTCTGATTTCCAATTGATGTAACTTTAACACTGGTTTATGGAATATTTGTAAGTACTTGGTTTTAAAATTAGCTGTACATGGAAAATAATATGAAACATCATCGCACCTTAGAAGTGGAAACATAATAAAAATAATCACTCTGTTGTATGAAAATTTTTTTGCCTTTTTGGAATGAATTTTCCTACTGAGTGTTTTTAACACTAATTGAGAAATGTTAAAAAATATCAGTACAATGAGTAAAATGAGTAGAGACTAAATTATTGAATCATAGCAACTGCAATACTAGATTTTGTTAAAACTGATGAAACAACCTTCTGCATGCAGACATCATTCAGATTACATTTTTTACATAGGTATTCCCCTTCTCAAGTTGCACACAAATCCAATTAAGGGTCAGTGTTATAACAACAATTTTTTATCAAGGGGACAATTGGCCACACATTCACAGAATAGAAATCCCCAGTGGCCAGAAACATCTTTGAGCTGAAGTCAGAAGTGAGAAGTGCCCAAGAGGCACTGATGTTGTAACTGGTGCTGGTACCTCTGCCCGCACCTCAAGCTAGCTTTGCATCCTAGCTAGGATTCTTTAACTTTCCTGGAGTTTTGATGGGGGTAGAACAGTTCTATCACATGGTACCAGCTGCTCATTCACGCCTGTGTTTTTCAATATTTGTACTGTCAGTAATAAATTCCAACTGTACTTCCACTCAGATTTAGTCCAACATCCAATATTGTCAATGAAAATCACCCCAGGCTACTTATGAGGGCACTACCAGACCTTGAAAAAATCTAAATGTTTTCAAATTCTTCATTGTTTATTGATAATTCCTGTGAATGTTGACATTCCAGAGGCAAAAAAGAAAAGAGGTCTTAAATTCCTAAATTGAAATAGAGACCTTACTTCAAATCAGTACAAAAACTTCTTTAAAAATTCAGCATTTAGCACACATAAAATAGTACTGGAATCAGGTCTTTGTTCTCAATTACAGCTTCCTGAGGAGGGGATAGGGAGAGAAAAGCTCTGAGCTCTTCTCCCTGGTGTCCAGTGACAGGATGTGTGGGAATAGCTCAAAGCTGCACCAGGATACATTCAGATTGAGCATTAGCAAGCATTTCTTTACCAAGAGAGCAGGTCAAACACTGTAACAGGCTTCCTAAAGAGGTGGTGGATTTCCCAACCCTGAAAATGTTTAAGAAGCATTTGGACAATGCACTTAGCAATATGCTTTAATTTTTCTTCAGCTCTGGAGTGGTCAGACAGTTTAACTGGATGATTGCTGTGGGTCTATTCTATTCTATTCTATTCTATTCTATTCTATTCTATTCTATTCTATTCTATTCACTCTGACGAAAACCTAGACAAGTTCTGCTGAAGAGGATTGCTTTCTTTGTCTTCTTTATGTATTACCGGTGTATTACATGTTGGAGCCAGCTCCTGTGTACCAGGAGTTGGAGCCAGCTTTCACCATCTGCTTTTACTTCCTTTGGGGTGAGATGCTGTGGCCAGGAAGGGACTGGCTAAAATTCATAGCTCCTTTTTTACCTAAAAGCCCAGGGAAATTATCAGACATTTCTAAAGCTCAGTAGTTTTAAGCCCCATGGAATGATAAGTAATACCACTTATTCTTTTTATGGCAAAATGAGTTTTTCCACTTCATTTCTCCACTGAAACTATTTACATAATGTCTGTGTTCTTTTATGGCTTGTACAAAAAACAGTGCCATACTAAATTTGCATGGGCTTAGGGAGAAGGCTGAAATAGGAAAAAGTAATAAATGCATATGCCAATCATTTATCTTATTTTTAACCATCTCATACATTATAAACTTCATAGAAATCTCAAAGTAGTAATTTCTAACAGCTGAAGAATGCTTATTTCCTCATGAACTTTCAATATACTTCCATTTAACATTTAGTGGCTCAATTTTCTTTGTATAGGTCAAGAGGATTTTTTCATGTCTTGTCACAAGGAAAAGGGTACTTGAGTGGAAAAGGTGCACTCTCTATTATCACCACAGAATTTCAAGTACCTGAGCATATTCATTAGAAACTGGAGGACTTTAGCAAAGATATGAGATATTAGAACAAAACCCGCATGTTCTTACTATAATAAGAATTGGTTATAGTCAAACTGATATAAAGGGCAAAACTCACATGCCAAGCATGTCTGAGTTCTAGTTCAGGTCTGCATATCCTACTTTATAGTATTTGCTAGTCTTTTGGAGAATTAACTGATTATATGAAAAATTATATTACAAGAGTCCCAGTGACACTAATGAATTCCAGCTCCAGGCAGACATTACCATGTGATATCATGAATTATCTCATTCATGCTGGCATTGCAAAACCACGAAGCCCTCTGTTCTTGAGTGCTGGGGAGAAATCTAGGCATGGGAGGAAGACAGAAAACTGAGTTGAAAGGTAAATGAGCAAGATAGCCGAAATTAATGTTGTAAAAGGTTAAGTTCCTTTCTTGAATTTTGGATCCTTTAAGTAGTTTCAGAAGCAGGCAAAATAGTCTATTTCAAACTCTGGGTAAAACTCAGATGTTTTGCCATCTGCCTAATAGTTTTAATGTATTTTAGTATACAAAATAATTGATTTCAATAAGATTCACAACTTACAGCCCATAGAGACATTTTTCCCTCAAGTTTTGTCTAAGCTGGCCTTGAAAAATTAAATTTCTCATTATTTTTCCAAAGGGTAGTTGACATTTAGGAGTTAGTTAGAAATTATAGTTTTATTGCTCATGTTATTGCAATGTAATGTTCATTTGGAGAGAAACACAATGTCCCATTTAAGCAGACTGCATTTAAATTGTCCATTTTGTTTTATTCTGAAAAGTATTTGCATGATGATAAATGGATAAAGAATAATGATTTCCAAGGAGACATTCTCTCTATCCTTGAGTTAGAAAAATGAAGGCCAAAGATGGAACAAATGGTCTGGGAAGATGCCATTTCTACAGCAAAAGAAGATACTGTTTTCTGAAGGATGTCTCCTTAGTAACAAATCACTGTCTGAGAAGGGATGAAGAACAACATGACTAAAAGGACTTAAATTTTGACCCAAATACTGGGGTTTTTTTGCAGCAGAACTATTACAGATGCCGCAGCATTTCAATTTGATTGCTGAAGTCTTCATACATATCACTAACATTTTAATTTTCCATAACTTACCTTGATTTTCTTGTGTCAATTAAAGTAAGAAAGGAAACACTTTAAAAAATCTTCAGATGTGATAGTGCTCAACAGTCCCTGCAGATAAATAGAGTCAACACTGAATGCATTCAGCTGGAATTCAGTGAGAAAAACACCTGCAGAAGTTTTCCCTTCATCATTATGCTAGGTGAACATCTACTCACATGCACAGGTTTTTCTGACTTTTCTGAGAGACAAAGCTTCCACCATAAGCATACCACCAGATCTGAGCTCCCTAGAAGGGAGCATGTCCCACCAAATATAGATGGGATGAGACCAAGAAACTTTCTTTTAAAAAGCAATCAATTTTCTTGAGAAGAAACACTGGGAAGTTCCGTATTTTTTTTTATTTCAATATCTAGATTATAATAAAATACCCTGTACACTTCTACTTCTAATAAAAGTATAAATGTATCACCATTACTAAAGGGAGACAGTAGAAGACAGTGTCAGAAAATTAGACTCCAGATGGAAGGGAAGCTGCTATTGGACTTTCTCAAGGATTAATTTTTGGATGAATTTTTTTATTGACCTTGACTTAAAACCAAGTATTTAATGCATAAAATTGGAGTATCATAAACACAAAAGGAAGATTGAGATATCAAAATGAATAGACTACTGCTGTATTTGCAGGAATTCCAGAAGAGGGATCCAAGAAAAAATGGTTTTAAGGATAAATATCTGAAGATTATTAACAAGATAATTAACAATTAGGTCCTTATCTAGAAGTGACTGAGGAAGCCAAAGGCTAAAAGATATACTATTTGCAAATCACCATCTGGAGAGTAAAATTAATCTGTGGAAGGCTCAATGTTGTTGATGAGACTACACCTGGACTCCTAGGTAAACTCCCAGTTCCTTCCCAAAAGTTGTATTCACATTTGAATTAGTACAGAAAAGACATACTGTGACAAAAGGTGGAGTGGAAAACTTTAGGAAGCCAGGAGAGAGAAAGAATATGGATTAAGTGGCAAGGCAAACTGGAATGTGGTCTTTAAATACATGGGAAATACGTGTAGAAAAGAAGTGTCCCCTAAAGTTAAAGAACAGGACTGGTGTAAAAAGTCATAAATATGGTCAGGGTGGAAATGATTGGAGATCTCTAGTCAGCAGTGGAGTTACTTTCAAGTTATCATTTAAGGAGCTTGGGAGAGGCTCTTTAGAGAAGTGTCTGGGTGGTGTTCTGTTCTGGGGCCCTCAGCAAAGAAAGGACATGGACCTGTCGGATTAGGTCCAGAGGATCAGAGGGCTGGAACACCTTTCTTATGAAGGCAGTCTGAGACAGCTGGAGATATTCAGTCGGGAAAGAAGGCTTCAAGGTGACCTTAGAGCAGCTTTCCAGTACCTGAAGAGGGCCT